TCAAACAAAAAGGCCTGGAGATGTAACTAGGTGAAAGGCCTTCAGTCCAACCTCCGGTACAGTACTGAAGGGAAAATAAGCCGAACTGCACATGCAGACTTCATCATTTTCCCGAAGTAATACACCCACTGGGGGACCTAGGTTCACGAACTTAATTCTTTCCAAGATTCCGGCTGCAAATTGAGTTGGATGAAAACAAATCGAATGGTTAGGTTCAACGCTGACCTTATGGGGAAACTTCATTCTGTTAAGAATCAGGCTGTGGTGTTGGTATTAACTGTAGTGACAGGGCCCGAGAACGAGGTGCCTGCGGATGAATAAGAAAAGGTAAACGATAAGAAGAACAGAAGAGGCAAAAGTCCGGGATCAGGGGGCCCACAGCCTCTGGGACTGCAGCCTCGATCGCCCCTCCCAATCGCCTCTCCCAATAGCCTTTTATTAGAACTAAGAAAGTTAACTCAGACCCACAGGAGGAATTCATTATCCCTTTCCATTTCTGCCTCTCAGCTGATGGTAACCATATTCTGGCGAACCTCCCACACCCGCACCATTTGCACTCAGCACGGCGGGGGATCGTAAGCCGACCATCAGCAATCAGCTCATCAGCAATCACAGTCCTTCCCCCACATGGCCCCCTTTTTGTTTTAACGCAGTGCTTTGAAGCATCAATGAGAAGGCTGCCAGTTGTCTTCCGTTTCTCAGCGTTACCCGGATGAACTTCGCCAGACTAATGGGATGAGGCAAAGTAGAATAATATCGCAAGAAATGACAGTGGATGTTTGTAAAAATATGAACATAGTTCAGAGTCCCTAACGATGATTAGCCTTCAATTTATATCTTGAGATCACACTTTTCTGCCGGATATCTAAGAACAAGTTAGAGTGAGACTTGTATAAATAAGAGCTTTAACCTTTTACTATCTATCAGGGTCAGTGAGGTCTCCTCAGGAATCTGCTTGGAACCAAATGCCGCATCTCTTGATCCTCTGTCAGTGCCAGCCATCCGGATGAGTCACGGCCATTGCTTGACCGAGGTGCTTTCTGTGAAAGCCTGAGAGATTTTTCCTGTCTTCGGGACTCTCCTTAGGCACACTATCTGTCATAGAATTACTTTCCTCTGCGGTCCCAGAATCTCCTTGATCAGAAAATCAGGGACTCAGTCGAGTTATAGGATGTCATAGTAGAGGTTCTCTTACGTCCTGAGTCTGTCCTGACCTCAGAGGGCATAGCCAAAATACTGGTTGTGTTTTTAGCCCAAACTATCCTTCTGATATTGAGTCTCCAGCTCTCAGTGGTTAAACATCCAGCAGAGAAGATTAAGGATAAAACATCCTAACGAAGGCAACAAGCTTAACACCATAGTCTAATCTAAACAGCAAGCACCTTGGAACATACAAATGAAGCCATAATTTCTTAACAACCATAAATATTCCATTATTTTAACCTCAATAGAATATTAACAAACAACAATTACATATATCCACCCAGAAATTTAACAATCAAAACCTTATGTGACATTAACCTTACTATGATCTGAAATAACAGAGGCAGTAAAGCTTAACACTACTATCTATCTGAATATCAGACACCTTAGAACATAAAATGAAACTGTTGTTTTCTTAACAACCACTAACATCCTATCATTTAAATCCCTCTAGAATGTTAATAGATAATTATATATTTGCACCTGGAAATAGGAAACCAAATCCATAAATAACATTGCTGCATGAGTCATGACATTTTGTAACATACTTAAAATTTCATGCTGAGATAACCTAGCCCTCTCAACCAATCATCTCTATCTAATACATAAGGCTTTTCTCCAATCTGTTATCATCTAACAAAGTACACCTAAGTTTTTTAAAGGCAAAGGTCTGAATTTGAACAAAAGTCTCATTATAAGCAATCCTTGCTTTACCTTTAGGAGAACTATACATCTGGAATCATGAATACATTTCAATACACTATGAAATTAATAATACTAAATTATCATACACATATGAAAACCTTTGCTTCTTTAGTTCTGTACTAAGAACATCTCTCATGAGAACACCTTATTTTTATTTTTTTCTGAAACACTTTTAACCATGACTAAATTATTGGGGGTATCTCCCAAGAGACTCTGGAGATCACTAGGGGCTCCTTATCAATGAACAAAGGTTAGCCACCCCTTTATTCACCAATTGGAGTCCTAAAAAACAATTTTTCTGCTCAGGGATTCTAGTTAAATATCTTTATTTAAATATCATCATTTAGGGGCTGGGGATTTATCTCAGCAGTATAGCGCCTGCCTGGCAAGCATGACGTCGTGAGTTCGATTCCTGGTACTAGAAAATAAATAAATAAATAAATAAATAAATAAATATCGTCATTTAGACCAGCTGGTAATTTAGAAGAAAGCATGCTTTTAGATTTGCACCCCAATTGTATCATGAAAAAATTTTGCTGAGCTCAAAAATAAAGAACAGCTGTTGACAAAAATGGCAGACAAACATGTAAAAGTACACAGAACATACATTTACACAAAATCAGAGTGCACTCAAACCTTTAACCAAATTTCATTACAGCAATTCTATTACAACTTTGAAAATTTATAATTTAACCATCTGTTGTTATAAATGGTCCCTGTGTATCATACGGACAAGAAAGCTATTTGAATTTATTAATATAAATTAGTACAGGCACACACGCCTGATCCCACAAAGTCATTGCCTATCATAGCGGCTACGACTGCCAACACAGCTGAAAATATATTACCAGCTATAAATATTTTCCACTGAGATGCAGCTGGCTCTCGACATGATGGGTTACTTTCTTAAGTCATTCCTAAATTGGGGGTTGTGCTTTCTGAATGTTCCTGATTATTATCTAAAGCTGGTGCTGTAGTAGCATCACTCTCATTTTTTTTTTCACCGGAGGATTCAGATCGAATCTGACTCATGTCAAAGTTTAATTCTTCTAGCAGGTAACCACACTTTATCTCCTGAATCTGTAATGACACAAGCAAATCCTCTCTCCTAAATTTGAACAATACCCTTTCCCCATTTTCCAGTATGAACATCTTTCCAAAAGATTTCCATCTATTTTCAGGTGTAACTCAGGTCTTTTATCTCCTATAGAGGTTCACCAAAAAATTCCTCCTCCAGTACTTCCAAAGCCCCCACGGGAGCGGCACGACCTTCCACATATGGAAGAAGCAACAACTGGGCTATATGCTGTCCTGCTTCAACAATTTGGTATGGTTGTAAAGCTTGCATCATAACGTGAATCTCATCTTTAGAGTCCATTACGCCTCTATGTACTTTTTTTTTTGTCTTTTTGAGACAGGGTCTCACTATGCAGTTCAGGCTGGCCTCGGGCTCACTTTGTAGCCCAGGCTGGTCTTGAACTCACAACGATCCTCCTGCCTCAGCCTCCCAAGTGCTGGGATTACAAGCATGCGCCACCACACCCGGCTTCTATGTACTTTTGAAGTCAAACTACTTCTTCCCGCAATCAAACCAACTGATTCCTCACGTAGAGGCCCATAAATCCCGGTTCTAATCTTTTGAATCCCCGAAGCAGGGGATAACATAACATTCTCTAAGGAGGGCATATCTAATGCTGCGCTACCTCTGGTGGCAGCAAAGAGATCACTGAGGTGGGTCCCTAAAAGGATTAAACTTATGTAGGGGAAGAGGGTTGTGCCAGATATGCCTGCGAAGCCAAGAAACATGCTTAAGAGATCAAAGAAGGCAGAGGAAAATCCAATTTCCCCTTCTTATAGTTAGTATTGCATCTAAAAGATCCTTACCTTCCTTCCTCCTCTGCAATGGGTCCCTGTCCCTGAAATGATAGTTTCATGTCCTATCTCCTGTAAAATCTCTTGTTACATTTCGTATTTTTTCCGAAACAGAAAATTTCCCATAACCTTGATAAACAATCCTGGAGACCGGGCTTAGCTGCCCGCCGACTCTCCCCCGGTCTGTCGAGCACTGACTTTATTTCCTTAATTTCCTTTGCTAGTCTCAAAGACGTATTTTCACACCCTAGTCTCGAAGACTTCCTTTCGTACTCAAGTCCCTGTTCCTGGCGCCATATGTTGGTATTAGCTGTAGTGACAGGGCCCGAGAATGAGGTGCCCGCGGATGAATAAGAAAAGGCAAACGATAAGAAGAACAGGAGAGGCAAAAGTCTGGGACCAGGGGGCCCACAGCCTCTGGGACTGCAGCAGCCCCAATCACCCATCTCAGTCACCTTTTATTAGACCCCGGAACGTAACTCAGACCCACAGGAGAAATTCATTATCCCTTTCCATTTCTGCCTCTCAGCGGATGGTAACCATCCTCGGGCGAGCCTCCCACAGCCCGCACCACGCGCGCTCAGCACGGCTGGGGATCGTAAGCCCACCATCAGTAATCAATCCATTAGCAATCACAGTCCTTTCCCTACACCGTGGGGCGGGGTGTAGCTCAGTGGCAGAGCGCCTGCCTGGCACGCACAAGGCCGAGTTCAATCCCCAGTACCACCAAAACAAACCAAGCCAAACAAAGAATCAAGTTGTGTGGCCGGGCGTGGTGGCGCACGCCTGTACTCCCAGCACTCAGGAGGCTGAGGCAGGAGGATCACTGCGTTTGAGACCCGCCTGGGCTACACAGTGAGCTCAAGGCCAGCCTGAACTGCACAGCGAGACCCTGTCTCGAAAAGACAAAAAAAAAGAAATCAAGCTGTGAACTGAGGAACCGTTATTTCCATGACTTTCATCGCTTTCGATGTGTCTAGAGGGGATTGTGCGTGTCCAGGAGGCGCAGGGGAACCTGGTACCTCGTGGGGCAGCGGCGGTCCTGCAACCACTCCTCCAAACCCGCAAGGCTGCCCCGCTAGAGCTTCATCAGAACCAGCTCTGACTTGAAGCTGGAGCAAGTCTGGCTCCCTACGGGCCGAAGGGCTCTGGGGTTGGTCCCGATGTACCTGCAACAGCTGGTAATGGCTTCGGGGAAAAAAGTACAAACACACTAGGGGTTAAATAAGATGCTTCTCTTTCCACTGTTTATTAATGTACAAAATATACAAAACCAAAAGAAAAAGAAAATATTCATCCTCAAATCCATTGTGGTTCTAACCCAAGACCCTGCACAAAACCCAACCAATTTACTGTTTTCATAGAAAACAACTGATGCCAACGGGCAGGAGAGGACGGGACAGGAGCGGCTGGCCCCATGGACAGCGTGTGGAGTGTGACCGTCAGCCCAGCGTTCGGCCTGAGCTGACGGAAGGCGGGTCCCCAAATGTCCTATGAAGTGTCCAGGATGGCCAGAGGCGAGGGCAGCCCCACACGCTCACCATTGCAGACAGGAATTTGCCATCATCAAACCCTGAAGATGAGACAGTTGACAGGTGCAGGCTCGACGGGGTCGGGGCTCAGGGCCAGGGCTTGTGGCGGCAGGTGCGGGGACGACGGTTTCTGAGCTCAGACCCAGCCTGGTCGAGCCCTCAGTGCAGTGGGGTGTACGGCACCCCTCCCATTCCCAGCCCCGGAGGGACACGGGTGACCCCGGCGCAGCGGGTCCCACGTCAGTCTGTGCATGTGAGGACCCACGATGGCGGGCGGGGTGAAGCCGGTGCCGGCTCTAGGTTCTCGGGCAATGGGGGGATCCCAAAGTGAAGCCAGCTGGGCCTCCTCGTCAGCAGTCCAGAGTCCAGGACGCGGCCAGTCTCACCTCCCCAGAATGGAGGGGAGCATGTACACTGACGCACACCAGTGAGCAGAAACCCGGACCCACGCAGGCGGGACCCCAGGGGCCGGCTCCTCGCCAGCTGGGGCACGGGAAACGGGCCTCACAGAAGCCATAACAGGTGAAGGGGCAAGGCTGCGGCCCAGGGTGCACGGGCCCTAGGGCAGGGGCGGCCCGTTAACCCCCGGGTGGTAGAAGGCACAGTTGTTCTCGTAGCGGCAGTTCCCCTTCATCATGAAGTGTCGGCAGACGGGGCGGTTCGACATGTCTGTGGGGACAGGACGCAGAGATTAGTCAGATTAGTGAGTGGCTCCGGATCGGACCTGCCATGCACGCCGAGGCCGAGGCCATGGGGAGCCCTCCCGCCCTCTCCGACTCAGACCCAAGGCCCCACGGGCACAGGCAGCACCTCACCTCCTCCATGGCTGTGGCCTCCGTCGTGCCCACGGTGGCCCCCTCCCCCGTGGCCAGGACCATCATGGCCACGGTGCTCGTGAGGAGGTGGTCCCCGGTGGTCATGGCCTCGGTGACCAGGGACATCGTGTGGCCTGTGACCATGGGGCCCTCCGTGTCCAGGGCCTTCATGAGGCCGATGTCCACTTCCGCCCATGCCACCGCCAGGGCCTTCATGGGGCCGATGTCCACTGCCACCCATGCCCCCACTGGGGCTTTCATGGGGCCGATGTCCACTGCCCATGCCTCCGCCAGGGCCTTCGTGGGGCCGATGTCCACCGCCACTGCCCATGCCTCCGCCAGGGCCTTCGTGGGGCCGATGTCCACTGCTGCTGCTCATGCCCCCACCGGGGCCTTCATGAGGCCGATGCCCGGCACCTCCAACCATGCCGCCGCCGGGGCCCCCTCGTCCATTTGGGGGTCCTGCTCCAGATCGACCTCCTCGGGCCCCTCGGAATGGAGGAGGCGGTGGAGGGGGCTCGTTTCCTCCTCGGCCACCTCGGCCTCGATGGTATGGTCCAGGACCAGGCCCGGGCCCCCCTCGCATCGGGCCACCCCGCATGGGGTCCCCTGGGCCGTCCCAGAAGGGATCACCCCCGCGGGGAGGTGGGGGGGGACCCAGGAGACGTGGACCCACTGGTCCACCAGGGCCTCCATGGGGACCTGTCAGGGGAGAGATGAAAAGGGACATATCACTCACCCCTGTGCTTGAGCTGCCACTCCCAACCCGACCCTGTCCCCTCTGCTGTCACTGTGACCAGCCTGAAGAACCTGCATGCCCCACCTACCTGGCATGGGCCCCCCAGGCCCAGGGGGAAAGTGCTGCATCCCTTTGGGGGCCCCAGGGCCTCCGGGTGGGAAGCCATTGGCTATGGGTCCAGGACCGAGGAGTCCGTGTGGTACTGCTCATAAAAGGGGATGAAACAAATGATCAGAAAGGGCCCCAGCAGAACAGCAGGCCCCGCACCACACCCCCCCAGCACGGCTCTGTCCAATCGTCCCCGCCCACTTCCTGCCAGCGGAGGGTGCCCGATGCTCACCCAGCATTTGCTTGAGCTTGTCCGAGTAGTCCGGCTGCTTCAGCAGCTCCTCCGAGGGCTGGCTGCTGGGGCTGCCCATGATGGACGTGAGGATCTCCTGCACGTTGATGCCGCCTCCGCCGGGGCCCTGGGGACTCTTCCCCGCGCCCATGCTGCCCATCAGGTTGGCCAGCACTGGAGGCAGCTTGGAGCCGGCCGCGCCGTCGGGAGAGCCGCCCGGGCCCCCGGGCTCCAGTGCCTCAGCGTAGGGGGTCTCGTCCATGGAACACTCCTGGCAGGAGCAGAAAAGGCTCACATCTCAGGAAAAGAACATACGAACACTGATGGGAGCAACTGCCACCCGCACGTCACCCACACCGCCCCGCACACAGACTCACCTCGTCCAGGGGGATGAGCTTCGGGGGAATGGGCTCGTAGGGCTCAGGGTCGGGCTCGTGCGGGCTGCCAGGAAGAGCGCAGGCCACGGAGAGAGGAGAGACGGGCGTGTTACTGTGAGCCCGGCCGCCTCGCCCTGCACACCCCCCACCCCGCCCAGCCAGGCACACCGCCGCCAGCTGCCTCCCCAGCCCACCCTCCGTGCTGCAGAGCGCCCGAGACAGGGTCTTGCCCAGGACGGCGGCCGCTCACCTCTCCTTGTTCAGGAAGAGCTCCTGAAGGATGCCCTTCTCCCGCTCGGCCTGGATGTAGCGCTCCTGGCTGTTGCTTCCGGGGATGACGAGGGGCGAGGGCAGCGCCAGCAGGCGGGGGCACACCCAGGGCACCTTCTCTTCCATGTTGTCATGGCTCAGCCGCCGGGCCGTCTCGAATGCGTGTCGGTCTGAAAGAATCTCTCTCTTGGCCGCCTCACCGAAGTCCTTGATTTTATTCACGTTTACTGAGGACAAGGGGAAAGGCGGGAGGGAGAGTGAGCCGGCCGAGTCCCTGTCACACCCCGCCCCACCCCAGCATCAGCCGGCAACGCGGCCCCTTACCCCGCTCGGTCTCGTCCAGCTCGAAGTAGAAATACTCCCTCAGCTTGGCCTCCTCGGGCCATGTCACCGTCTTCCTCTTCCTGCCCTTGCGGGTCAGCTGCCCGGGCTCCCCGGGGCTCTCCACCGGCCGGGCGTCCAGGGCTCCCGGCTCCAAAGAGGCTGGAAGCAGCAGAGGTTTCAGATCCAGCTCCCTCCGTCCAGAAGCCCAGCCCGCGCCGGTTCCTGGATTACCCGTGTCCATGAGCTCCGGGACTTCCACGGGCGGCACCGGGGTGCCGGGCCGGTCCACGTCCATGGCCTCGGAGGGCGGGGCCGGCTCTGGGGACGAAGGTTTGGCCGTGCTGGGCTCCGTGCTCGTCTTCCCCTCAAAGGGGCTGGGCTACGAGGACACAGGACGAAGGTAAGGGGCTGAGCGGGGCCACACGCAAGGCCCCCGGTGACCCCCAGGGAAGCTACTTCCTCTCCGCCCCTCTTCTGTATCTGACCAGGTCAGCACCCTGCCCTTTCCTGAACCTGCACCCCACTGAGCCCCACTTTTTGGGGCCCATACCTTGGCAGCGGTCGGGGACAGCACCTTCTTCTTCTTCTTGATTTTGATGCCTGGGACAGGAGCTGAATTGAGAGCGTCCAGAAAGCCCAGGCCCTCCATAGCTGCAAAAGAAGAGGGCAAGGAGGAGTCGGACACCCTCTCCGACCCTGCTCCCCGAAGCCCAGCGCAGGACGGGCGTGGCCGCCTCCCCCGAAGCAGGGCCGGGCAGCTGACGGACAGGAGGCCCTGACGGCCACTGCGTGGCACCTGCCTGACCACCCCTCCTCCCACGTCATCCTGCACAAGCGGAGAGGAGCATGCCCCCAAACCCGAGGCCTCCGGCCTGGGACTCACGCTGCGGTGGGATGATCTTCACTTTGATCTCCTTGGTGGCGTTGGGGGTCGTGTTGAGGGGCTTGTACTTCTTCTCTGCAGGGGGAGCCACGTCTCCCGGCGCAGCTGTGGCACTGCGGGAAACAGCGGATGGGGTCAGCAACAGCGCCACCCAGGCCCCCCACGCGCCCCAGTGTCACAAACCCGCCCGGGGCCTCACCTCTGGCGCTTCAGGGGGATGGGCTTGAGGTTGTACTTGTCCGAGACAACCACGGCGCTGGCGTTCTTCTTCACAGGCACCAGGGACGGCGTGTCCAGCTCGAGTCCTGGGGGCAGGGCACACCGGAGCTCAGCCTCCACCTCCCCCTGCCCATCCCCAGCCCCATCCTCAGCCCGCCCCACACCCCAAGCCCAGCCAGGCGAGGAGCCGCGCCGGCTCACCGGTGGAGCGGAACTTGGCGTGGCTGGGGGCGGTGGTCCGCAGAGACTTGGGCTTCTCCTTCTTTTTCTCGGGCGTCTCCTCAGCTCGGGCCTCGGGCTTCACCTCCGCCAGGGGGCGCTCAGGAGGCGTGGTTCGACTCTTTCCCTCTTCTTTGCGTTTCTTTTTATCTTTTTCTGTTGGAGAAAAGGATTTCATTCAGAAGATGAAGATTCTGAGGTGAAGCCGATGAAGGCACCCAAGAGCCACACCCTTGTGGGCAGAAACACACATTGGCCCAGAGCCCCAGCCTTACCAGCAGGCTGCGCGCTGCTCTGGGAGCGGATGACAGCCATCCAGTCGCTGACCAGGACAGAGGCCAGTTTCCGCAGCTCTGCGGGGGAGAGGAAAGGGGGGACATCATTTAAATGATTTAGTAATAATTTAGTGGGTTTTCTTATTTATTTATTTTTGTCTTTTTGAGACAAAGTTTTACTATGTAGTTCAGGCTGGCCCTGAACTCACTATGTAGTCCAGGCTGGCCTCAAACTCATGAGGATTCTCCTGCCTCAGCCTCCCAAGTGCTGGGATTAATGGTGTTCGCCACCACGCCCGGCTAGAACTAGAAAAGAAAGGAAAAGGCAGGAGTGAAGGGCGGCCTAAGGGCAGGGAGAGAGGAACAACAGGACGAGGCTGCCCGAGCGGGCGGGACAGGCTGGTCCTACCTTCATCCTCACTTGACTTGCTCAGCTGCTTCACCAGCTTGGCTGTGTTGTTCTACGAGAGATGGAAGAAGCAGAAAAGTAAACACTGGAGGAAACAAGGCTCACAAGGCTCACTCAGTGCTAACAACCCTACAGGCTCACTAGCTCTCCTCAGGAGATAGTCTTATATTAGGTAGGTATAATTATTCCCATTTCACAGGTGAAAAAACTGAGACTAAGATATATGAGGTGCTCACACCTATTAAGGGAAATAATTCAAACCACATCATTTTTTTTTTTTTTGGTACCAGGAATCAGACTCAGGACCTTGTGCTTGACAGTCAGGCGCTTATGCTGCTTAGCTTTATTCCCAGCCCCAAACCACATCTTTTGATTCCAAATTCACTCCAGAAAGTTCATTCTGTTCATCCCACCACCCAGGCCTGAGTCCTCACAGCAGAGTAACACGGTTTTTCGCTTGCTGGGTGAGCCACAGAGGGTGAGGAAGCCCGGGCGGTACCTGCTTGAGATGGTCCACAGTGAGTGGCAGGTGCTGGAGCGTCATCAGGATCTGCTGGAGGAGGGGAACGTTGTTGGTCGTCTTGGAATATGTCAGCCAGTTGTTCAGAAGCTTGTAGCCGCCTACGTCAATAAACCTGGAGGTGGGCAGGAGCGGAACTTCGAACAGCCTTCTGGGTCCAAACTGTCCCCCCCTACTATGCCTAGGGCCCCCACCAATGACCCGGGAACCCCACGTCACACCTGCCCCTGCAGCCAGCAGCTGCCCACTCACTTGATCAGTATTTCAGACGTCCGGGTTTGGAGCAGGATGTTCAAGTAGGTGCACCGACTCACCATCTTTCTCGCTTCTTTCATTAGACTGTGGAAGACAGGAGGGAGTCAGAGAAGGGCAGAGCACTCCTCTCACGGCAGCAGCGTCTGCAGGGCGCTAAGCGACCCCTGGGAACCCCAGGAGGAAGGAGCACAGCCATCTGGGGAGAAGAGCACCACTGCTCCTGGACACCACAACACACATGATGCTGCCTCTGGAATCTGAGTCCAGGGTTGAAACCACCCCTCTGCAGCCTGTGAAGACTGGCTTAGAGACTGCTTTTTTTTTTTTTTTAAAGCGGAAATTGAACTCAGGACCTTGTGTTTGCCAAGCTGGTGCTGTGCCACTGAGCTATATCCTAGGCCCTGAAAACCGCTGAGAGATCTGCTTTTCCCTGGAACACAGCGGATCTCCAGAAAAAATACACTTCGGGTGGGTGGTATGTGACTCAAAACAGAACCAAAAATCTGTCAGCAGGCTGTGCCGTTCTCCTTTTAGTGTGACTCCCCGGACCGTTAACAGTGTCCTAGTCCCAGCTTCCATCACTTCTCCTAGGGTCAGGGGCTTTGAATCCTTTTCTCTTCACTCGCCTTCCCACCCTCTGCTGGGACACGCACCTCTGCCTCAGCTGCAGCTGCAGAGAGCACCCAGAACCCTCTGCTTACGACAAACCCCAAGCACAGCATGGGCTCACCTGAAGATCTTGGAAATCCCATCCACACTCTTGACTTCCCCATCTCGGTTTAGGAAGCTGTCCAGGCCCTTCAGAAGCTCTTTGGGGTCTATAGGACCAGAACCCATGATCTTCGTTTCTGAGAACAAAATAAAGCCACAGAATAAGTGGAAGGATAGCTGCAGTATGCCCTCTAATAAATCCTATCACTGTATTTGACAAAACTTAGTGCCTGATTCTATTTTTAAATTAACTCCATTCAGCTATTTCATTCAGTTATACTATTTTCTAGATAAATAAAAGCCTGGTTTTAGGTACACAGCATCACTACTGAGAAAATAGCCCTGGCAAGTTAAGCATGCACGGGGTGAGCACATGACCGAATGCCAAGGATCGAAGGGGGGCAGGCAGGGCAGCACACCTGCCTCCCCTGTTACACTCTCCTGGGACAGGTGGTTTCAAGAGATGACACTAAAGCTAAATTCAAGTTCCTGTAAGAAGATATTCAACTCGCATGGTACTTGCTTACTGTAAACCATTTTCCTTCAGCACTGACAAATCTGGCCTGTATCAATCTTAAGCGTTTAGGCTAAATGTCTCACAAGAGTCAATTTCCTTTTACCTTAGCCCTGTAAGCGTCAAGATCACAAAGGGCAGGGGCTGGGGATTTAGCTCAGCGGCAAAAGTGCCTGCCTGGCAAGCGCAAGGTCGTGAGTTCGGTTCCTGGTACCAGAGAAAAACCAAAAAAAA